CAGGTACCTGCTCTGCGAACTGGTGTCCGACGACCCCCGCTGCCGCCTGACTCTGGAGGACCGAGTACTGGTCGGCCTGATTCGGGACACGATCGCACGGGTGCACGGGACCTTCGGCGCGGCCGCCTGCTCCATCGGTTTCGCAGGTGCGAGGGCGCGGGGGCAACCCGGACGGACGGCGGGATTTGGAAGGAGCAGGCGCTGGAGGAGGGAGGAAGAAGTGGCACGAGCGAGCCCTGGAGAGGCCAAGCCCGGGCGCACCCTTCGGTCGTGGGAGGTCCACACGAGTCCGAAATTAGGCAGAGCTAAAGCAGGGGCCCGCAGGCAGTGGGACTTCGGGCAAAACCCTGTGTGGCGTCTGCATATTGGGGCTTGTTAGTGAACTTAACATAGTTAAATGAGTAAAGTCGTATATAGTTCCTAGGCAGAGCCATTATTTGACCGATTACATTGACATCACATGGGAAAAAGCAGGTCGTAATTACCTCAGAAAAGCCCTTAATAGTAACGTACAGCCCACGATTGGGTACAAGTTCCGTGCAGGATAGACAGGCACCAAAAAGGCTGTTCGCCCTCCGGACTACTCCAGCATTTAGTTCCTTTTACCGTGAACTCATAGGGTCCTGGAGAATCAAGTGCACGGAGGTGACCTCTTGCCATCAGGTGAGACCCGCTGGCGGCCACAGGAGCCTGCAGAGCCCAACGGCAGTAAAACAGCCCGTTTATTAGACGAGGGCTTTTTTTATATATACATATTATATATGTGTGTATTATATATAATATATATTATAAATATATATATTTGACAGAGTTATAGACAAGTGAGAGAGACAGAGCAAGGTCTTCCTTCCGTTGGTTCACCCCCAAATGGCTGCCACGGCCGGCGCTGCACCCATCCGAAGCCAGGAGCCAGGTGCTTCCTCCTGGTCTCCCATGCGGGTGCAGGGCCCAAGGACTTGGGCCATCCTCCACTGGACTCCCGGGCCACAGCAGAGAGCTGGCCTGGAAGAGGGGCAACCGGGACTAGAACTGGCACCCATATGGGATGCTGGCGCCACAGGCAGAGGATTAACCAAGTGAGCCACAGTGCCGGCCCCCAGACGAGGGCTTTTGTTTTTAAAAATGTATTTATTTGAAAGTCAGAGAGGGAGACCTCTTCCATCCCTTGGTTCACTCCCCAAATGGCAGCAATGAAACTAGAGCTTCTTCGACATGGGTGCAGGGGCCCAAGCACTTGGGCCATCTTCCTCTGCTTTCCCAGGTGCATTAACAGGGAGCTGGATTGGAGGTGGAGCAGCCAGGTCTTGAACCAGTGTCCATACGGGATGCTGGTGTCCCAGGCTTCACCTGCAAGGTTGGCCCCGACAAGGGTTTTTTTTTCATGCTGAAACATCATCTCCCCCTCCTCCCAGTAAAGTCACTGAATAGAACAGCATTTTAGATTCTCGATTCATTTACCAATTCTAAGTGATGTGCAAGGCCCTGGTGGTTATCCTCATTCCATAAATGAAGGTCTCGTCTGAAGTTTTTCTTTAGGAGTCTGTTTTTCCTCAGTGATGCATCCCAAGTGCCATTTGTCTAGAACAGTCCCTGGCACAAAGCAGGCTCCGTTACCCTAAGGCTTCTAACCACCTGTGAATCCGAAGTTTTCCAAAATGATCTCTCCCCTGCTGTAGTTCGATACCTCAATGCTTATACCGGAATAGTGCTGCTTCGATGCCGAAAGGAATTCTACCGGCTGGTGTGGTCAGCGCTTCCCTTCATCACGTATTTGGAGAGCAAAGGACACCGTTACCCTTGTTTTTTCAACACGTTACACGTGGGAGGTAGGCATGCATGTAGTGCATTTGCTGAATCTTAAGTGACAGACTCAGCATTTACCTTGACTGCTCGCGTGCTGAGAGAGAATTCCTCCTAGCTCTGTCTGTAAAGCAGACATTCACAAGCTGTTGACTCCATGTCTTTCATGTGCCAGGTACAATCAGAACATGTCAGAAGTTCCTGATTCAGTACAACAGGCGACAGCTGTTGATCTTGTTACAGAACTGCACTGATGAAGGTAAGCAACAGTAGCCCAGTGCCCACTGAGCAGTGACCAGCGGGCTGCCCTCGTGCAGAGAGATTGCTCGAAGACATTTATTCTGCTCTGCCTCTTTCCAGGAGAGCGGGAAGCTATCCAGAAGTCAGTGGCGAAGAGCTGTTTACTAGAGGAGTCGTCTGAAGAGGAAGGGGCTTCCGACAGCGGAGGTGAGGAAGCTGCTGAAGCAATGGCGTCGTGAACTGCTCAGACTGGGTGGCAGCCAGCCAGGGCTCGATTTTCCAGCGTGAACTGGAGGCCACACTCAACTGAAACCCTGGAGTTGCTTTTACAGAGTGTTTCTGGTTAAGTGGTTCTGCGGGTTGTAAAGGCTCTACACTTGTGGATAGTCTTGTATCTAATTACTTGTCTAATTTGGTTTCTATAGCATTGAGCATAATAACAAAAGGGCTTATACACTTCATGCTTGGCCAAGTCTCCTCTTGCATTTACCCTGGCTTTGGTGGGAAGACTGCTCCTATGTGACACTACATTAAAATTTTTTTAAAAGATATGAAAGGCAAAGAAAGATCTCCCATCCACTGACTCCCCAAATGGCTTCAACAGCCAGAGCGAGCCAGGCCAAAACCAGAAGCCAGGAGCTGCATCCCAGTCTTCTGCATGGGTGACAGGGGCCCGAGTACTTGGGGTATCCCCCACCGCACACTAGTGCAGGGAACACATTAGTAGGGAGCCAGACCTGAAGTGGAACAGCTGGGACTTGAAATGGCACACCCCAACACCAGATGAATTTTGAATATTTAGCTTTCCACGTGTAGCCCTAGATAAAAGAGCTCATTTGGAATAGAAATGTGAAGAGACATAGCAACCAACTTGTACAGATCCATAGTCTCAGTAATGATCCAAATACCTTAGAAATATCAAATTCCTTGCTAGCACCTAAGCAGCTGACTCTGCAAAAAAAAAAAAAAAAAAAAATTGCAGCTTTTGCACTTTTGTGGCATAGGCTGGCCTCACCTGACTTCACTGCCAGGCTGGGAATTTTCTGTAGTTCCACCCATTCTTATTTCCTTACACCTGAAGACAGGTAACTGCCACACTCACAGGCATCAGACCAAAGGACTTTTAACCAGCTCTGTCCTGCTACCTCATGACATTTCTTGGCTGTTTTCTCCATAATAAAATGATGTCATTCAAAGGTCCCTCAGTCACAAAGTTGGGTTTTTTAAGGTTTATTCATTTTACTTGAAAGTCACAGTTACAGAGAAGGAGAGGCAGAGAAAGAGAGAGGTCTTCCATCCAATGGTTCACTCCCCAATTGGCCACAACAGCCGGAGCTGCGCTGATCCAAAGCCAGGAGCTTCTTCCAGGTCTCCCACGGGGATACCGGGGTCCAAGGACTTGGTCCATCTTCTTCTGTTTTCCCAGGCCATAGCAGAGAGCTGGATCGGAAGTGGAACAGCTGGGTCTTGAACCAGCACCCATATGGGATGCTGGCGCTGCAAGTAGAGGCTTTACCCACTACTCCACAGCGCTGGCCCCATAAAGCTGTTTTGCTTCACTGTGTCCTCTAATTTCAGGACCAGAACACAACCTCCCTCAAGAGTCCTTGACCTGAGATTTCCTTTAAAAATGACAGGCTAGCAGCTTCTGGGGAGCTGAGCACAGGAGTCTTCACATCCTTTCTCACAGGCCTTCCCAATCCAGCTCCTGGATCCTCTGTCATACGCCCATGAACAGTCACTGACTGAAGAATTATCAGTAACCAGAGTTGCACCTGTACCTTTGAAGTGAGGAACAAGAACCTCAGATATGCTGCAGTGACCCTAATCTTTCAGGCTTAAAAAAAGGGGGGCGGGTGTTTGGTGTGGCAGCTAAGGTGTTGCTTAGGGTGTATCACACAGAGAACTTGGGTTTGACTGCAAGCTCCACTGCTGATTCCAGCTTCCTGCTAAGGTACACACCCTAGAGCAGGACTGGCTCAAACAGCTGGATCCCTGCCACCCAAACAGGAGACCCACACTGGGTTCCTGCCTCCTGCCTGGCCCAGCCCTGGCTGTTGCAGGCATCTGTGAAGTGAACCAGCAGATGGAAGACGGTCTCTCTCTCTTAAATAAATAAATCTATCTAATCTATCTTTATAAATAAATAAATCTTTATCTTCTCATATTCTTTTTTTTTTCTGGACAGAGTGGACAGTGAGAGACAGAAAGGTCTTCCTTTGCTGTTGGTTCACCCTCCAATGGCCACCGCGGCTGGTGCGCTGCGGCCGGCGCACCACACTGATCCAATGGCAGGAGCCAGGTGCTTATCCTGGTCTCCCATGCGGGTGCAGGGCCCAAGCACTTGGGCCATCCTTCCCTGGCCAGAGCAGAGAGCTGGCCTGGAAGAGGGGCAACCGGGACAGAATCCGGCGCCCCGGCCGTGACTAGAACCTGGTGTGCCGGCGCCACAAGGCAGAGGATTAGCCTAGTGAGCCACAGCGCCGGCCACCTCTTATATGGTTAAAGTTAGGCCCAGCTCAAGAGGCTTTCTGGTGTGTATGGGGGGCTGCTGAGGTGCAGTGGGTTAAACTGCCACCTACAGGGCTGGCATCCCACAAGGGATGTCCCTGCTGCTCCATTTCTGGTCTAGCTCCTTGCTGATATACCTGGGAAAACAGCAGGAATTTTGAGAAGCAGCTCCTGGCTTCTGGCTTCACCCTGGCCCAGCCCCTGCTGTTGTGGCCATTTTGACAGTAAACCAGCAGATGGAAACTCTGTCTTTCAAAATAAATGGAATAAATTTTTTAAAAAAGTCCTTTAGGCCTGATACCAGAGAAGACATTAGTCCATGATGGCTGAACTGCCTAAGTTCATAGTAGCTGTTACTTTACCCTATTTCAAGAAGTAATATGTCTGGCTGACCTGCAATGAACTTAAAAAAAAAAAAAAAAAAAAACAAAAAAACAGAAAAGCTGACATTGCTTGTGCAGGTGATTTATTACAACTATTTGCCTTCACATTCTATTACACCTAGAGTTCATTTTATTAAGCAGAAAACAATTCACATCACTCAAATTCAGCTCAAATCAAGGCATAAGAAAGCTGCTGTAGACAAGAGGAAGACAGTGGACAACCTACTGCCTTCACCCTGCCCTGTTCTCCAAGCCAAACTCCTGCCCCTACCAGTCAGGCCACTATCAGACAAGCTTGACCTGTGGGATGGCAGGTTCAGAGCTTCCTTACAGACTGGCAGCGTTCCTAACCCTCCTTCACCATGTAAATGGCCATCAAGCTGGCAACCCACATCTGGCACCACAGCCTGGCCATCTGGCAGAAGAAAATCAAACTGCAGCTTAAGCTGGGTATCCTAAGGCCATTTTATTCCCATCCCTGTTTCTATGACAAGGAGAACTGCACAGGCAGAAAGGACGCAGCTATCTTTATGACAAACTGCTAGGTGTGATGAAAGCAGAGGCGCCGGCGCGGGGTGCCGCAGCAGGACACTTCGTGCCGCTCTGCTGTGAGCTGCTCCAAGGGATGCTGAAGGACTCAAACTTTTGGGGGGCTGAAAACTAATTACACATGGGCCAAAACACTAACCTGGCAACAAACTAAAAACTCTGGCAGGAAGAGATGTCTTGTGAGTGTCAATACTTTTATTTTGGTGTAAAGACGGGAAGCTGGAAAATACACTGTATTTAAAATTTTTCTTGGTTCCCCCTCGCGTTGTGGAATCCCCCTCCCCCCGAGCTAGTCTTTTCAAACTCAAACACTTAAAATTACAGCAGCAAATCAAAAGCATGGAAAAAAAAAGATGGAGAAGGTAGCCAGGGCCAGTAGTGTCACTTGGTGTGGACAACTGAGGTGCTGAACAGGAGCTTCTGTTTCTGCTTTTTTCTTTTCTTTCCTCCTTTCTCTTCTAAAGGGAAACACAGAAAGAGAATTCACTTAGCTTGGAAAGCCATCCCCTAAATCCCCTGGCAGTTTTCATTACAGAGACAGTGCCAGCTAAGCATGCAGCCTTGAATGAGACTGCCTGGATTCAAACTACAGTCCTAGCATACACCAGGTATTTGTCTTTGGGCAAGTCCCTTTACAACCTTGCATCTGGCTCCTCATCTGTAACCGAGTTCCAACCCATTTCCAATTGTTGGGAAAATAAAATGATCATCACTCTAGGTCCACAGAATGAACACACCAATCATGTGTTGGTCTTGTATAATCACAAATACTGCAGTGACCTAACTTTTCCACCCCAGCCAACCTTTACCAAGTTGACTCAAAACTGTAGGCAGGGAGCCGGTGCTGTGGCATAGTGTGCTAAGCCTCTGGCTTTCGTGCCTGCATCCTATATTGGTGCTGGTTCACGTCCCAGCTGCTCTTCTGATCCAGCTCTCTGCTATGGCCTGGGAAAGCAGTGGATGATGGCCCAAGTGCTTGGATCCCTGTACCGGCATGGGAGACCCAGAAGAGGCTCCTAGCTTTGGATCGGCCCAACTCTAGCTGTTGCAGCAATTTTGGGAGTGAACCAGCAGAAGGAAGACCAACCTTTCTGTCTCTCCCTAACTCTCCCTCTCAAATTTCTTAAAAAAAAAAAAAAAAAAAAAAAAAAAAAAGTAGCCAGGATCTATCTACTCTGCACTGTCTCAGCAGAAGCAGGCAGAAATCCTCAGAATTTCAGTTTCAGACCTCAAGAATTAATCTGATGTAACAAAAAGGTTCTCCCTGACCTGCCACGTGAACATTAGCTGACGGTCAAAGGCACTGAAGACACCTAGAGGCTCAGAGGGAAAAGTGCTTGCCCAGGGTTATCTGCTACTGTATCCAAGCAGGAGTAGACAGTCCACGTGTGGGGTGTCCGGCAAAACACCCTTACCAGAGAGCGGATCTGAAGTAGCCGGTGTGTCCAGTTTCATGAAGGCTGCTTCAATTGCTTGGCTGAAGGAATTTTGGAAACTCGGCACAGGGACACGGTCTGAATTATCACTCTCCCCATCGCTGTCCATAGGGGCAGGAGGAACTAAGGTGTTCTCATCTGAAAAATACCAGTGTTACTGATTCTCAAAACACCTCTCAAATTTTTTCCTGAAAGGGATCAAACGCCCCCCTTCACCCGCAAGGCCCCCTCACCTTTTTTTGGAGCAGTTTTGGGCCAGACATCCACTTTTGCTTTTCCAACCCTCAGCATCTGTCAAAGCAGAGGGGAAAGAATATCATTCATTCATTCAACTCTGTTTCCAGATGCCCACCTTGACACTAGTTAGGGGCAGAGGAGCAACTATCACCTTTAAAAAGTCTTTACCACACTGTTTGTCATGTCCTCTACATTCTGACCAATGGAAACTACAGTGCAAAACACAAGGTTGCAACGAAGCACAAGATTAGGAAATAAAGAACATTGCAAAGAAGGCACAAGAAGCCCAGTCATTCCCAAACTGAGAATCCTGTTATTTTCCTGCCTTTCTTAGAACCCCTGTTGGGAATAAAGCAGTGTGCAGTATCCTCTAATTAAACCATATGGCTATCAAACCTTAGTTACTTAAGGCCATCAAAACTAATTAAAGTTAAGCCTAAAACTGATCTGTTCCAATGACCCTCATTACCTTTTTTTAGTCTGCTTTTCCAGTAGCTCCTTAATCATCAGTTTTTAGATCCAACCATAAAATTCATAGCCAGTAAAACCAAAATAAGGGACTGGCACTGTGGCGTAGTGGGCAAAGCTGCTGCCTGCAGTGCTGGCGCCCCATATGGGTGGGGATTCAAGTTCCGGATGCCATTTTTCTGGTCCAGCTCTTTGCTACGGCCTGGGAAAGCAGAAGATGGCCCAAGTCCTTGGGCCTCTGCACCTGTGTGGGAGACCAGAAGAAGCTCCTGGCTCCTAGCTTTGGATCGGTGCAGCTCCAACCATAGCGACCAATTGAGGAGTAAACCAGCGGATGGAAGACTTCTCTCTCTGCCTCCCCTTCTCTGTTTAAACCTTTCAAATAAATAAATCTTAAACACACACACAGACACCCCCTGGCCCCAAGTTAGCCACAGCTGGCTTTGTCACTGTTGAGGGCCACTATTAATCCTATCTGCTCTACATGCCAGGCAATTCAACATGGGGAATTTCATTTCTACAAAAATGTTAAGAAATAAAATTGAATCCCCTGGTTTTCAAGCAGGCAAGTCTTGTCCTGAAGCATCCATCCTCAAGGAAGGCACACACATTAAGAGCTGTAGCAGGTGCTGGTTTCACAGAATAGCTTTCTTCAGCATATCATGTGCTTTGATGAGCATCTCCCCTGGCCCCTGGGAGTTTGGGACTAAATAGCATGACAGCTGAATCATACTCTTAAAAGGTAATTAAGATGTTTTATTCTTAATATAACTATGTGTTTGAACTGAACCTACTCATGAGGAAACAATCAGATCCACACTATGGGGCATTCTGTAAAACAACTGGCCTGGTTGCTTCAAAATATATATGTCATGGTGGGATAGAAGAGAGGAAGGAGGCAGCCCAGAGGGACTGCTATGGATCAAAGAAGCTAAGGCAATTTGACAACTAAATGTAACAATCTAACTGGACCCTGAATTAAAACTATTAAAGACATTGAGACATGGGCAGACAGATAGAGTACCAATTTAATTGAGTGGATGTTAAGAACTGTGGTTACTTAGGAGAGCACCATTTTCTTTGCCATATATCTCCTAAATATTTAATGAAGTATCATCCGTAAGGTCTACAACTTTCAACATACAAAAATTAAGCAAATATAGAAAATGCTAAAGAATCAGTGAATCTATGTGAAAGGTATGAGTGTTCATAATACAAATGTACTTCCAAAACCATTTTGAAATTTGCCATTTTCATAATATGAATCATCCATGAATTTTCTGAAGATCTCTTGTATACATGGATTTCAGTTCCTACTTAGTTCTCAGAAGTCATCTTTATGAAAGAAACAGATCAACTAAGGACAGTCCCAACCTAGGACCAGGTTTGACTTGTGAATTTTCTACCTTATGATGGTCCCAAGTGTACCCATACATAGTTCTTAGAGTATTCAATAAATTACATGATATATTCAAAACTATTATGAGGAGCCGGCGCTGTGGCACAGCGGGTTAACGCCCTGGCCTGCATCCCATATGGGTGCCAGTTCGAGACCCAGCTGCTCCACTTCTGGTCCAGCTCTCTGCTATGGCCTCGAAAGCAGTGGAAGATGGCCCAAGTGCTTGGGCCTCTGCACCCACATGGGAGACACGGAAGAAGCTCCTGGCTTCGGATCGGTGCAGCTCTGGCCATTGCGGCCAATTTGGGAGTGAACCAGCGGATGGAAGACCTCTCTCTCTCTGCCTCTCCTCTGTGTAACTCTGACATTCAAGTAAATAAATAAATCTTTAAAAAAAAAAAAAATGAAATCAGCTTTGTACCGTAGGTTAATTTAAGTGCTCTGATTATGTTTCACATAGGCTAGGATCAGCTAAAATGTTTGGTAGGATTAAATGTGTTAATTACATTTTTGACTCACAAAGGAAAGGAAGCCCATAACATCATCTGCTCTCAGCCAACTCCCTACTGACTAAAGTTCCAAGGCAATAAATTCCCCCCATTCCCATCAGATATCTCTGTTTATCTATCTGTATTCGAATGAAAGGCAACAACTCCTGGTTGAGGTTCCCATAAAAGCAAGCTGTGGAGTTCATGTTAAAAATTCTTGGGCTGGGGGCCGGCGCTGTGGCGCGGCGGGTGGGGCCGCTGCCTGCCGTGCCAGCATCTTGTGTGGGTGCCAGTTCGTATCTCGGCTTCTCCGCTTCCAATCCAGCTTTCTGCTATGGCCTGGGAGAGTGGTCGAGGATGGCCCATGTCCTTGGGCCCCTGCACCCACGTGGGAGACCTGGAGGAGCCTCCTGGCTTCAGGTCAGCGCAGCTGCGGCTGTTGCAGCCATCTGGGGAGTGGATCAGTGGATGGAGGATCTCTCTCTCTCTCTCTCTCTCTTCCTCTCTCTCTCTCTCTCTCTCTCTTCTTCTGTGTAACTCTTTCAAGTAAATAAATCAATCTCAAAAAAAAAAAAAAATTTCTTGGGCTGTTTCACAAGCAAAGGATTTACCTGGGCAAAGGAAGGGAAGGGAGAGTCTTCTTCCAGACTCCCAACGCAGAATGAGGGACTGCCCTGACTGGCAGTGGGTGACAGAGGGGTCAGCAGAAAGTCTGAAATGGAACCAGAGATCCGATTGCATAAGTCAAGTTCCAAAGACCTAGTATCTGCAACAAGAGAGATTAACCCTAAATCAGGTCTGGATAATTACAAGCCCCCACCCCCATAAAGCAAAACAAGTTTCTCTGCCATGTTCTTATAAAGTCAAGAACACTTATTGGGCTGGCGTTGTGGTATGGCAGCTAAAACTGACACCGACATCCCCTATGGGCACCAGTTGGAGTCCCAGCTGCTCCAACTCCAGCTTAAGGCCTAGGAAAGCAGTGGAGGATGGCCCAAGTGCTTGGGACCCTGCACCCGCATGGGAGACCCAGAGGAAGCTCCTGGCTTCCACCTGGCCCAGCCCCAGCTGTTGCAGCCATCTGGGGCGTGAACCAGCGGATGGATGATATCTGTTTCTCTCTGTAACTCTTTCAAATAAATAAATCTTTAAAAAGAAAATCACTTATTACATCAGTGACCAATATGGAGAAAAAGCTCCATGAATACAGTAACACCACAAGTCATGGTGCAATCTATTCCCACAGTATTACATAAAACTTTAAGAAGTGTGCTACCCTTTCCACAAAGGCCAATTTAGGCCTTGGTATTCTGTCATGGACTGGTTTTTATACTTATGAAAGAAAAAGATAAAACAGGGGGCTGGAATTGGGGTGCAGTGGGTTAAGTCACCACTTGACAGTGGCACCCGTATCAGAGTGCAGGTTCGAGTTCTAGCTGCTCTGCCTCACACTGCCACATATCATTACTAATGTGCCTGGGAGAGCAGCAGCAGATAGCCCCAGCTCTTGGATCCCTGCCCCTCATGTGGGAGACCTGGGTGGAGTTCCTGGCTCCTGGCTTCAGCCTGGCCCAGCCCTGGCTGTTAAGGGCATTTGAGGAGTGACGGCTGCAGACAGAAGATATCTACTTTCTATCACTCTGCCTTTCAAATAAATAAATGCTTAAAAATGAATTAAAAATCAGGTCAGCCTTTATGTTCCAGCCAGTAGGTGTCTACGACCTGGAAATATTCAGTTAGGATCCAAGACATACACATCAACAAACCCCAGCACAATAAAGCCAACTTTCCAGGGCTGAGCATTTCCCACAACCTCATGTGTCCTGCACCCTGAGCACCTGGCACTCCTCCAGCAGCAGGCCTCTTCTACAGTCACCCAAGGCTGTTAGTACCTTTTTTTAAAAAAAAGATTTATTTAATTGAAAGGCAGAGGTACAGAGAGACAGAGGCAGAGAGAGATCTATCCATCTGCTGCCTTAGTCCCCAAAAGGCTACAAAAGCCAGAGCCAGGCCAATCCAAAGCCAGGAGCCAAGGGCTTCTTCTAGTTCTCCCACACGAGTGTAGAAGTCCGAAGACTTGGATCATCTTCCACTGCATTTCCAGGCCATAGCAGAGAGCTGGATCAGAAGTGGAGCAGCTAGGTCTCGAACTGGTAACCATATGGGATGCCAGCATTATAGGCTACAGCTTTACCCACTGAGCCACAGCACTAGCCCTGGCTGTTGGTACTTTTATTCCTAGGGCCTATAATTGCTCTTGTCTCAATACATTAGAAGCTCATAATCAGAAAAGCTAGTATGTGAAAATACAATCGTCAAATAAGATTATGCATCCAACGATCTGTTCAGTTCCTTCATTAGTACTTCACTTCTCATTTAAACAAAGAGCATCACAGTTGTTCAGTCTTTGAGAACCAGGTTCTAGCAGCTGGTGCTGTGGTGCAGCATGTTAAAGCCCTGGCCTGCAATGTCAGCATCCCATGTAGGCACCAGTTCATGTCTCAGCTGCTCCACTTCTGATCCAGCTCCCCACTAATGTGCCTGGGAAAGCAGCAGAGAATGGCCCAAGTCCTTGGGCCCCTGCACCCATGTGGGAGACCCAAAAGAAGCTCCTGGCTCCAGATCGGCTCAGCTCCAGCCATTGCAGCCACTTGGGGAGTGAACCTGAACCAGCATATGGAAGACCTCTCTAACTCCTTTAAATAAATACATCTTTAAAAAAAAAAAAAAAAATCAGGTTCTAGTCTGAAATCCCTGGCTTCACTTCAGGTTTCTAATTCAAAAAGTGACAGATAAATTACAGGGATCATCAAGTTTTTTTTTATTTTAAATATTCTGATCTTGGACATTGTGTTAAAAATGCCTGACCCAGAACTAAGTCTTGAGCATAAAAAGCATTCTGTCAGAGAGAGCTGTCTGAAATTATAGTGGCTCTTAAGTGTTTAATTTCCAAATGCTTTAATATATTCGCCACATTAAAAGGAAAAAAGCTAACAGTCTTTTGGAACAAGCTCTCAATCTGGCTCTCACTGCTATATGGACATCACCAGTTTGGAATATCCCCTTCCTACTATTTTTCTAGAGTTATCCTTGGTATCTGTGAGGGACTGGTTCCAGGGCCCCTGCAGATATCAAAGCCAATATGTACCCACATTCTTCCATATACATTTATATATATATATAAAATTTTAAAGATTGAGTTATTTACTTAAAAGGCTGAGTAACAAAGAGGCAGGGAGAGAGCTTCCATCCACTGGTTCACTCCCCAAATGGCCAGAACAGCTGAGACCTGTTAGGGTCAAAACCAGGAGCCTGAAACTACAGTTGGGTTTGCAGCTAAAGTATTTGGGCCACCCTCTGCTACTTTCCCAGATTATCAGGGAGCTGGATAGGACGCAGAACAGCTGGGACTTGAACCAGTGCTCTGATATGGAAAATGCCCATTGCACGACACCAACCCTTTCACATACTTTCAATCATCCCTAGATTACTTATAATATATATTACAACATAAATGCTAAGTAAATAGCTGTTATACTGTGCTGTTTAGGGAATAAGGACAAGAGAAAAGCCTATACATGTTCAGTATGGATACAATTATTTTCCACAAATATTTTCAATCCATACGTGGTTGACTCATGGACACAGACCCTGTGGATACAGTGAACCAGCTGTACATGACATACACAAACAAAACAAAATGCTTGGCTTTGTTATAGCTTTTTTAAAACTCACAGATGGTATGTCTATTCTTGTTCTATAGTCTTTTTACCTTCTCATTCATGAAAACTACTGCTTTCTTCAATAGGTGTATAGTATTTCATAGTAAAAATGCTCTAAGTTAGCCATTTCCCTAGTATCTTTCAGTTAAGTAGGCTGTTTCCTCTTTTTATTTTTGCTCTTACAAACAATTCTACAGTAGAGACACACACAGATACTCAGCATATAAGGAATACCTCAGAAAACAGAGATGAACCAGCTGGTTCACAGGAAAGAATCCAGGTGTAACTATCCTGCGTAACAAGCTGCCTTGAAGCTTTTAGAAGGGGATCTAAGCAGTCAGGACCGCCGAGGAGAAAAGTGAATCAAATGGAAGAACCTGATACACCTCAGGACCACCCAAAGTCAGGTTATGTGCCTATAGGTCACACCACACCAACTAGGTGTAAATTCAAAACACCTGGGCTTTGCTTAAGGCCTAACCAGTGGCTGAACGCACAAAATCCCAACTCTATTTACCTGCATGGGAACCTGGACTTCTGCTAAGAGGAGAAAGGGAGAGGGCCTCCTGGCCCTCTGTGCTGGTGGGACCCGAAGCAGAATCGGAGGAACAGGCATAGGAATTGAAGGCAGGAAACTGCTGTAGATTCTCTAGGGGAATGTAGACTTCTGGGTCTGCAAAAGAAAGACAACACTAAGTAGGCCTCAAGAATTTTCCAAAAGCTGAAGACAGCCAACATGCACACCTCCCCACTAAGGCTCTGTAGGATGCAGACAGCAGCTTTCAAACCCAAATTTGTAATTGTCTGTTTTAATATTAAAGCCTTGTTCTAACTCTTCATACTGAAACTGGATGATTAACGTATTACACTGTTCCTCCTACCTGAATATTTCTATAATAAAAAAAAATTTAAAGAAGAAAATCCTGTTCCTGAAACATCAGTTTTCTTAAAGTTAAGGACATGTGCCAAACATCCTTATGCTGTGACCCAGCTATATACTTATGCTACTTTGAGAAGAATTTCTATGTCTATCATACAATAAGGAATTTAGTAAACGAGTCTTTTCCCATTCCTTCAACTTAAGACTTAATTCTGTTTTCTAGTGAATAACTAGCCCTCATGTGACACTAATCCCATGGATTCTGTGACGCTTATATTGGAGAAGTAGATTAAAAGTCACTGTGCCTGCTGGTACAAAAGAGCATGGATAGTATTTCTTCATTTGTCATGAAGTATCTACTACATCAGAGCCTCCTGGCAAATTTCGTATGAAGAGATGTCCCCAAGAGTCACAAGTGAGGTCCGTGATTCAGGGAGCACAGCATTCTCAGCAGGCCTCCAATTCCCTTTCTTGGAACAGGTTTCAACAGGTTTTACTCCTATATGCCATACACTTCAACTCAAATGAGTTCATTCAATTCTAAAGCCTACAAAGAAAGTACTCTCATCATTCACATTTAAAAGTTGAAGAAAACAAATGGCAGAGCTGAGACATGAACCCAAGTAGCCTGGCTTCTGGTCCGGTCTAGAGCCTCCAAACGATGATGCACAGCAGTCAAGTTAAAGATGACAGTTCCTGGGGGCTGGCGCTGTGGCGCAGCAGGTTAACACCCTGGCCTGAAGCACCGGCATCCCATATGGGCACTGGTTCAAGACCCGGCTGCTCCACTTCCAATCCAGCTCTCTGCTATGGCCTCAGAAAGCAGTAGAAGATGGCCCAAGGACTCCCACGTGGGAGACCCGGAAGAAGATCCTAGCTCCGGATCGGCGTAGCTCCAGCCATTGCAGCCATCTGGGGAGTGAACCAGTAGATGGAAGAAGACCTCTCTGTCTCTACCTCTCTCTGTAACTCTTTCAAATAGATTAAAAAAAAAAAAAAAGACCGTTCCTGAACTTACACTTGCCCTGTTTCTTGTTCTCCTCCATTTCAATTCTGCGTTCGCGGCGCCGTTCCTCACGAGCTTTCTTCTGGCGCTGCCGCTTCCTCTTCTCGATGTCATCTGCAGGTTGATCAGATTGTGAGGAGACACCCAGGCAACCAGTGCATTCACCTTTCTCAGTTGACAAATAGCTAAGCCCAGCTGGACTAGAGGAACAGGTGGAGTGTTTCAGGAGGCACCGAGACTCAGGATACAGCTCCTGAAGGTTTCCAGCCACCAAGGGCTGCGGAACCCCCACTCGAAGGAGAAGCAGAGCAAAGGCCTGCTCACCTGAGAATATCTCTAGCGTTTCCTTTGAGACCACAGGAGGCTGCAGAGCCAGTTCACAGATGCTGAACTCACAGGTGAGTGGCAAATGAGAGAGATATCTGTGACGCTGTCGAACATCCTACAGTAGGAAAGAGACCAATACTCAAAGACTGATCCAGTGTTTCTAATTTACTAGGTCCACAACTGTAGTGGACGGAATAGGGTGGATAAGAGCATTTGTTGAGGCAGACGCTGTGGCACAGTGGGTTAAGCTGCTACTTGCAATGTTTGCATCCCACATCAGAGTACCAGATTGAGTCCAAGTACTCCACTTTAGGTCCAGCTTCCTGCTAATGTGCTTGGGAGGCAGCAGATGGCCCAGCCTCTGCTATTGCAGGCATGTGGGAGGTGAACCAGCAGATGCAATCTCTTTCTCTCCCTCTCACTCCACCTTTCAATAAAAAAATCTCTAAAAACGAAACAAAAACCAAACCACTACCCTCCTGCATATGGAGTATTTGTTGGCAAAAATCTGGGAATCTAACAGAACTAATGGTGACTAGGAAGTAGGATGAAGCAGATGTCTCTGCTGAATGGAACTTGGCCTGAAACAAGAACGAAGCCCACCGATTTTTCTTTTCTATTCTTGTTCCATGTTATGTAGCATTCAAAAAATCTGATTTGGAAGTTGGTGACAAAATGTGCCCACATCACCAGCAAAGAGACTTGAAAATACAAACACTGAGACCATCACACCGTTGTTTTTAGTCTAAAACTCAGGCTCGCTAACTACGTCCTCAGCTAACGGCACACCCCAGTGTCGTCCTCAAGGAAGACCTTACCTCAGACATGGAGTACCCAGCGATCTCCACCACAGTTGCTGAGATCTTCTCTGGGCTCTGCTCCAGGCTGCCGTACTCCCGCACGAGGCAGCGCACATTCACAGGGTGCAGGAACATATGCTGTCCATCTTCCGCTGAAGACAAGGGGCTCTGTCACACGACAACCTTAGCTAGCCCTCAGGATCAGCCCCTCCGCAAGTATCCAGAGCTAGACTTGCCTCTCCTTTCCCATGCCAAAAAGCACAGTGATCCAATCCTCCAGTGGGGATCTAGGAGACACCTCCTCTGCTTAGAGCCCGCAAATCTTTAAAGACCTCTGAGGCAACCTAGCCCTTTTCCTCCAGGGCCCTTACCTTGGTAAAAGTAGTAACAAGGAGAGCTGCTGAGGTGTGTGATGCCTGGCTTGATGATGGGTTCCTGCTGGCTGGACTCAATGCAAATGGTCCCCTCCCCAAGATTGTCATCTGCTAATTCCGAGTGATCACAGGCCCCTGACAATCCTTCAGGCTCTGGTTCAGACACTGTTTCCTCTTCCTCTACCACAGGGAGAGCAAGACGGGACGGACAGTCCAGCGAACACACTTCAGTGGTTTCTTCATCAAAGGCAGACAGATACTCTAGCACACCCTGTTAGAACAAACTCTAGATCAACAGGAAGTCTAAGATTATGTCCAGCTATCAAGAAGTTATGTGGGGCAGGTGTCTGGCACAGCTTATAAAACTCACTTGGGACACCCACAGCCTCTGCTGGAGAGGCTGGGTTTAAGGCCCAGCTCCACTCCTCACTAGCTTCCTGATAATGTGCACCCTGGAACGCAATGGGTGGTAGCTCAAGTACTTAAGTCCCTGCCACCTACATGGGAGATCTGGACTGAATTCTGAGGTCCTGGCTTCACCCTGGCACAACCATGGTGGTTGCAAGCGTTTGGGGAATAAACAAACAAATGGAAAATTTCAGCCTCTTTCAAATAAAATGAAAAACTAAATTTTTGGTAATGTGGTGAAGGTCGGCATAAAGCAAAGCTCCTAGGGCAGGCATTTGGCCTAGTGGTTAAGCTGCTGGATGGGACACCCACACTCCTTATCAGAGTGCTTCTGTTCAAGTTATGGGTCAAGTAATTGGGTCCAGCCACCCACGTGGAAGACCACGATTGAGTACCAGGCTCCTGGTTTCACCTTGACCTAGCCCCAGCTGTTGTGGGCATTTGGAGAGTGAAACAGTAGATGGGAGTTCTATCTTTGTTTTTCTCTCTGCCTCTCAATTTTTTAAAAGCGCCAAGTTCCCTGGATATTTCTGTTAGCTGTCCCCTTCACTGATTTGACACTCTCGCAGAAAGACTAAGCACACAGGGAGCATAGTCCCTCTTCTCCTGGGACGTTCGGATTTCACAGTGGTGTCAACCAGCTCAACAGCATCACTCAAGGAATGGTAGCCAGGTATTAAGAGGGACACACTAACCTTCCTAGGTTGATAAACAGACTCCTTCGCCAAGGGAGCCATCAGCACCAGTTGTTCCAGAGCAGCCACGACACCAGTGACCTCCTCTCTGCCTTCAGCCAATCCTGACAGAGCCTCTTCCCGAGTCTAAGGCCACAGAGAGAAGAGCAGAGAAAGCTGTTTCCAGAAGCATACTTGTGTGAAGGGCAAAGGCTTAAAAAGACTTCAACAGGAGCAGAGGTTAAAAGGCAACAAGACCCAATGGGAAAGGTTTAGTCAGGCACTTATAATGTATAATCTTTGAAGGAATTAGGAAACAAAAATGATTTTGTACCCAAAAAGAACTGTATTCTGCTGAGAACCTCTGACAGACTACACTACTTACAAAAGTCCTGAAATACAAGAACACAGAATTAGTCTCCTACTTTTTATAAACTATGCTCAGAGGAAGCCCAGAAAAGAACTGGGTAACTAACCCCACCTTAACCAGGACAGCTCTAATTTTAGATACCTTTCTTCTATCATGTAAACAGAAAATGTTCCAATGTAAAAAGAAAATTTTAAAAAACTAGGGGATGGGGCCCTACTATGCTGCGCTAAGCCTCCACCTGCAGCGGCAACATACCATGTTGCTCCTCTTCCAATCCAGCTCCCTGCCATGGCCTAGGAAAGCAGTGGAAGATGGCCCAAGTACCTGGGCCCTGCACCCATGTGGGAGACCCAGAAGAAGCTCCTGGCTTTGGATCTGCACAGCTCCAGTCGTTACAGCCATTTGGGGAGTGACCCAGTGCATGGAAGGCCTTTCTCTGTCTTTCCGGTCTATAACTCTACCTCTCAAAAAAGTTACGAGAAAAAAAATAGTGGCCAGCATTGTGGTGCAGATTAAGCTGCCATCTGCAGTGCTGGTTCATTTTTTTGTCTGCTCTACTTCCAACCTAGCTCCCTGCTGATGTGCCGAGGAAAGTAGTGGTGGATGGCCCAAGTGCTTGGGCCTCTGAACCTACATGGGAGACCCAGAAGAAGCTCCAGGCTCCTGGCTTCTACCTGGATCAGCCCTGGCCATTGCAGCCATTTGGGGAGTGAACCAAGGGATATAAGATCTCTGTCTCTCCCTCTAACTCTAATGGGGGGCCAGGAGGGAGGGAGGCAGGGAGGGGAAAAAAGAAAATATACAGGACACTGCCCAAGGCAGACTTGGAAGTCAGAGATAAGAATTCAAGTAGCAGCTTCACAATTCATTAGCTGTGTCCTGAAGCAAACTGCCTAACCATAATTCCATTTCTCTACCTGTAAAATTAGAGTTACATCTGCCACACCAGGATCTGAAGCATAAGTAAGATAAATGAGGGAGGGGCCAGTGCTGTGGCATAGCAGGTAAAACTGCCACTTGCAGTGCCAGCATCCCATATGGGCATCAGTTCAAGTCCTGGCTGCTCCATTTCTAATCCAGCTCTCTGCTATGGCCTGGGAGAGTGGTCGAGGGTGGCCCAACTCCTTGAGCCCCTGCACTTGTGCGGGAAGACCTGGAGGAAGCTGCTGGCTTTGAATAGCACAGCTCCAGCCACTGCAGACAATTGGGGAGTGAACCAGAGGACAGAAGACCTCTCTCTGCCTCTCTTTCTCTGTGTAACTCTTTCAAATACATAAATAAATCTTAAAAAAAAAAAAAAAAAAAAAAAAAAAAAAAGATAAATGAAGGAGCAGTCACGCAGTCACATGCTAATCACTGAATACACGAGAAGGTTTACTGCTGTCCACATCAGTGGTACTCAATGTGTGGATTAAGGATTAGCAATAGCAGAATCACCCTGGAATCCACTGTAACATAAATTACTGGGGCCGGCACTGTGGCACAGCAATTAAAGCTGCTACCTGCAGTGCTGGCATTCCATATGGACGCCGGTTCGAGTCCCAGCTGCTCCATTTATGACCCAGCTCTCTGCTATGGCCTAGGAAAACAGTAGAAGATGGCCCAAGTCCTTGGGCCCTTGCACCGCATGGGAGACCTGAAAGAAGCTCCTGGCTTCTGGCTCCAGATCGGCCCAGCTCCAGCCATTGTGGCCAATTAGAGAGTGAACCAGCAGAGGGAAGACCTCTCTTTGTGTAACTCTTTGAAATAAATCTTTAAAAAAAAAAAAAAAAACACACTGAGCTTACTGAGCCTAGACCAGACCTACTAAAAATAATCTTTCACGGTGAAGCCTAACATCCATTAATTCTGACAATACAAGTTTAAGTAAACTTGTTGTAGGGGGAAGGTGTTTGACCCAACAGTTAGGTCACTTCTTGGAACACTGATATCCCATATCAGAGCACCTGGGTTAGAATAGAATCCCTGCTAGCTTCCAATTTCAGCTTCCTGCCAATACCCAAGTAGTTGGGTCCCTGACACCCACATGGGAGACTCAGACCAAGTTAGTGACTCCTGGCTTTGGCCTGGCCCAACCCTGGTGGTTGCAGTCATTCAGCGACTGAATGAGCAGATGGGAAATCTCCTGTCTCTCTGCCTTTCAAATGAAAACAGAAAAAATCGGGGTGCCGGATTCTTTCCTGGTTGCCCCTCTTCCAGGCCAGCTCTCTGCTGTGGCCCGGGAAGGCAGTGGAGGATGGCCCAAGTGCTTGGGCCCTGCACCCCATGGGAGACCAGGAGAAGCACCTGGCTCCTGCCTTCGGATCAGCGCGGTGCGCCGGCCGCAGCGCGCCAGCCATGGCAGCCATTGGAGGGTGAACCAACGGCAAAAGGAAGACCTTTCTCTCTCACTGTCCATTCTGTCAAAAAAAAAAAAAAAAAAGAAAGAAAGAAAGAAAGAAAACAGAAAAATTGTTTGGAGGACACAGGACCTATGGAAGTCTCTATTTGGGTAATTTTTGCTGCCCAACAAAGTTGCTCAAATAAAACACTTCTAAAAACAAATTTAAGTGTTATGCCAGAAAAGAAGGAAAAATCTACTTTGCTTAACTAAGGACGGCTAATCTAAGAAACTCCATTATCACAGTTAAACAACTTGATTTATTCGTTTTAGATCTACAAAGAGCTTTTGAAAAGCCTCTAGATCAGCTCTTCTTTCCCATAAACAAACAAATCTGACAGAACAAATTGGCAATTTAGCCATTCCTGTTTCTGGGTAGGCTTATCCCAGCCATCCACCCACTCACCCCCGCCTGGTGACAGAGTGGCAAAGATTAGCATCTCTAGCGTTAACTTTCCACGGCAGCCTCTCACCTTGAGCTCCTGGATAGCTGCCTCGATGAAGCAGGACTCGGGAGTGTGCTTCTCTTCTGCCAGCTGCTGCTCCAGTGCTACTTTCTCTTCTAGAACTACCCGCTGCAGCACCTGCTCCTTGGAGGCAAGCAGCAACTTGGAGTACTGGCTGTGCTGTTCATCTACAACAAAAAGCCAGCAAGATCAAAAACGTGACACTCCAGGATTGGGGCTAAGTAGCAACTCTCATCACAGCCATTTTCTGAGATGAAGATGGGATAATTCAGCATAATTTCCAATAATTTAACAGTGATCTTAAAATAAGATTCATAACTCGAATCCTATAATGCAAAAAATCTAAGAACTCCAGAGATGCAGTTAAAATTTAATCGCGCCGGCGCCGTGGCTCAATAGGCTAATCCTCCACCTTGCGGCGCCGGCACACCGGGTTCTAGTCCCTGTTGGGGCGCCAGATTCTGTCCCGGTTGCCCCTCTTCCAGGCCAGCTCTCTGCTATGGCCAGGGAGTGCAGTGGAGGATGGCCCAGGTGCTTGGGCCCTGCACCCCATGGGAGACCAGGAAAAGCACTGGATCCTGGCTC